ATATATATATATATATAATATATATATATATATATATATATATTATATATATATATATATATATATATATATATATATATATATATATATATATATATATATATAATATATTATTGTAACCGCGAACGAGTGGTATTTAATTAATAACAGCACTGCGACTAGCCAAGGACTCGAACCCATGTCGTTTTGGCCCACCATGGTGAACGAAAATCACATGACACTCTATCCTACAGGACCACTCAATCCATCAAGAATCACGCACCCAGCAGAGCTAGGTGTTTTACCGTGATCCGAGGACATACGGCATACACACCACCAGTTGACAGTAAAATGATTGTCACACCTAAACGTTCTCCCAAATGTATACTGTGAGATGAATCACACTGGGTGCAGTTTTGCAAACAATGGCCGTCAGTCGAGACGCGTATGAAACATGCTCAACAACTGTAAAGACACGGTAAGTGTTTAGGTGACCACAAGGGAAGTAAATAGTCACTGTACTATAAGTGCACAGGCCCATCCGCTGAGAAACAGGTGGCATTCACAGAAAACGAGACTAACCAGGCTGAGATCTCATAAATCACACAAGACAAATGTAATTACTATGTTATCAAGGCTCTCAAAAGTCTTTCAAAGGAAGGACAGTGTTGCAGAAACTGAGTAAACTACAGCTCGACCTCGATGGCTTTTTCAAAGGAACTAGTGACAAGACATGCGACATAGCCAGATTTACTGTTCGTCTTGGAAAAAGAAAGAAAGATCATGGAAGCTATGGTGATGGATGATTTACCAACAACTGTGCACATCAGATAACTAAAGAACACATTAGCTGCTCTGCAGTCAGCCAAGGTCAAGCTGGCCTGTCCAAACTTACGGATGGAGAGCATCAGCCTGACTGATTTAATCATTAGAAGTGATTACTGTCATTCTTTTGTAAAAAGTATGGTAAGTCAACATGATATTCACTTACTGGCAACAGCTGGAGGCCACATGATCTGTGGTCCAATTCCTAGCCCCCAGGGTGGGACACAGCTGAAATTAATACAGTGGAGAATGTACTGATTAGTAGAATCATCACTAGAATCCCACAACAGAAATTATCATTACTGGAAGAAATAAATGAACCAGATGATAAATTGTGGAACGTAGGTGCCATAGCTATTGATGTGAATAAACCAAGCCCAAAGAAATCTCAGACTTAAAAGGAATGCGAATACTTATAAGGAATACGAAGATAGTACTGGGTTAGGTTACCATGGAAATTAAATAAACCACATCTGCCTAGCAATTATCACATGGCTTTTGATCAAATGAAAGCACAAATATATGAGCTCAGAGAGAATCCAGAGCTCTTGATAACATACAAGAGCAACTGAGCAACTGAGCAACAGTTTCATTGAGGAAGTAGTCGAACACAATCTCGTTATCTGCTGTACGATGGGGGTAGTAAAGATTTCGCAACAATTCTTCATGTTGTATACAACTGCTGCACTCGTGCCTGTCTAATCACAGGACTATCACTTACTGAGAAGCTTGGAGACGTGCTCGTAAAATTTCGTACAAATCCCTATGCCTTTTTGGCTGATATTTCCAAGACTTCTCTAAGGGTAAGCCTACAAGATTATACTCGATTTCTATGGTCAATGGATTTACATAACCTTCAAAGTACTGTGAAAACATATCGTTTCAAGTCCGTCTTGTTTGGAGCAACATCCTCACCTAGACGCCACTTTTAATATAAATTTGAAGAAATCCGCAAGTCCCTTCAAAGACACTTTAAATAAAAGTTTAAATGTCGACAATCTTCAAGGAACTGGGAATAAACAGGAGGATTTGAAATCCTTATATATAGAAGCTAACAAGGAAATGGCAGGTGCAAATATGCCTCTGAGGATGTGGAATACTAATTCAACTAAATTAAGTGAACGTATTACAGATTTCCCTGAAGTTGACATTGCTGATTGACACAATATATTTAGACTCATTTGGAACACACAAATGATACTTACAGCCTCAAAGAAATAAAAAATAATAATTGTGATCCTCTAGGACTCGTCTCACCAATCACCATAAAAGGTAAAATGCTTGTGCAAGATGCATGGAAGCTCAAAATAGGTCGAGACGACAGCTTGTCTACTGAAATGAGTCACACATGGGATGAGATATCCACGGAAATTACACAGCTCCACCAAGTTAAATTTCCCAGACAAATAGGTCAAGTGGAAAATACATTTTCGTAATAGAGGTACACGTTACATGTGTTCTGTGATGCGTCAACCAGAGGTTATGGCACCATAACCTACATGAGTAATGCCGACAGAAATTTATTAATTACTTCCAAAGCCAGAGTGGTACCACTGAAAGTCAGAACAGTGCCACAGTTAAAATTGACAGCACTATGTAGGTACACAACTGGCTGTCTATCTTAACAAAGTACTCGATCACCTCACCAATGAAAAAAAAACAAGATCTGAAGTGATAATGAAGCAGTTTTCCAGTGGTTAAGAAACAAGAGTAAACTGGTCTATGTACAAAATAGGGTAGCAGAAATAAGGTAGATGCAGAGACATGACCTCTTCCTCCATGTCTCTACCAAGCAGAATCCAGCAGATATGTTGTTACGTGTTGTCCCACTGATGAATTTTGAGGATAAATTTTGATTCCACGGACCGAGGTGACTCCCTAATATAGATAACTGGCCTCAACAAAAGGCTCAAATTATGCCAGAATAAACAGTCTGCCTGAACACGGCAAAAATAACCTGAATAAATACAGCAAAGATAGTCATTGATGGATCGACTTACACCTCTTTGGATAAACTCTTAGGAGTTTCAGGTCTGGTCTTCAGATTGTAGGTGCTCCACCACTTATATCCAGATAATGTTCTCCTTAACTCAACATACATGTTAGTGTCGCTGGTCTGTAGGACCAAGGAGAGATGTTAGCTGGGACCACCACCTTCAAGGTATATAATTTGCCTAGCAGTTTCTTCACCTCCTCCTAGATCACGTGCATAATCATTTGCTGGTGCACCCTGCCACTTCGGTTTGCTGGAAGCCTCTCTGTCTCCCATCTGAGTACGTTCCTGAATCATGAACTGACCTCGTCACATACTTTCTGGTCGCTCCCTGTGAGCTCCTCTCCTTCCTTCGTCAACAAGATTTCCTGGTCCTTGTGGCTGTTTTCCTCCTGATGTGGCTGTACAACAACTTTGGGTCAGATTTGACTTTTGATGTTCATATTACCGAATAGGCAGAATGCTCTTAAATATTGGACTTTTACAAAATATTATACTGAATGTTAAATATTTGTTTAACTTTGGCAACGATGAAAAACAATTTTTTTGCCAAACCTAAACTAAAAACATCTAACCTAACTTAACCTAAGGTAATTTTCTTTAGTCAAGCTCCACTAAATATATCATAGCATTAGAAGTTAACCACCGTCGTTAGCTATTCTCTTCGCGCAAGTAGAAGTAGTTATGACAGGGTGTGTAGAATAAGGGAATACCTTTCTCAGATAGCATCGTCACCGAAATACATTTTATCACTGACTTATTTTTTTTTTAATAGAGCTTCATTGCTCAAAATTTTCATGTGGCTTGCATTTTTTTGGTTTTTGCCCGCTAGGTTCTGTGTTAGCCACTCACTATCTGAGTTTGGCTTAATGCGCTTCCTACATTGAGACAAAAAAAATTAATGACCCTGCTGAAAATTTTGATAATTTTCCTGTGATTTGAATGTAATAATTAATGGGGGATAATAGTGTTTGTAAAGTAGTGCAGGTGTAAAAAGGAGATAAGTTACATTAAGAATCATCAAGTTCTTTATAATTTCCATATCTAATGTAATAAGTTAACAATGTAAAATGTGAAAATTTGACACGTGTAATAACTGGGTATCTTTATTATAGACGTTTCGCCATCCAGTGACTTTATCAGTAAAAATTCAAGGACATAACTGGAAGAGACAAGAACTATATACAAAAGCTGAGATTATATAATCAGTCCCTCAGCCTTCGAGTTAGTGTGAAGAACACCGTAATTCTGAAGAATCTTCAGGACTCATAAGTAATGATACACATTATTCAAGAAGGTGATCGTGAGTCTGGCCACGTACTATACATTTAATTTGATTATCTGTGCATCTGCCAAACTGCAACAAGTAATTTTAACCAAGGCTAAGGCTGTCTGTTATAACATCAGTCATACTGTTAACAATGCTATGTTGATCTGTAAGCATGCTTATCTACATTCACGTTATCGTAGTAAATAATAGATCTATTTTGATTTCTAACTGTATTTCTCTGGAATTCACTTTCGTTATTTACTCCTATATTAATATTCCTGATCCTAGATATAGATATATAAGTATTATATCCCTCTTTTTCTATCTGGATACTTTCTTTGGTTAACCTATCACCTTGATCAAAGAGTAATTCACTGTGTGGTGGCTTCCATAAAAATTGTACATTAATTCACTTTTCTCTTATTTTGGAGTATTACGTATTTTTGGGATCTTCAATAAGCCTGTCGTAAGAGTCATTATGTGGGTCAATTGCTTCCAGTGACCCAGAAATTTCTTCTTGAGCAGTTGTTTTTGCAAGAAATTTAGGAATGCGATTACTCATGGTAAGCGTCTGGGGAAAGTCTTTCAGACATGCTGTATTAAATGGAGGCGTGTAATTCTTTTATCTACAGAGATACAGTTCATGCAGGTTATATACGTATTTAAATAAGACTGCATATTTTCCTTAACCATTTGGATGTGTTTACTTCTAGACATTTAGTAAGATTTGCATTGACAGTGTCTGGTTCATTTATTAACATTTTAATACCAGGTACGGTATTCATCTCAACAATTCAATCAGTGATAACAGAAACACCAAGCTCCTTCCTCATATTAATGACCTACGTAGTTTTGGCCAACTAAGAATAATTATGAAAGCTTCGTTTTACATTAGTTTTAAGGATCTAATGTAGGCTATGTATATCATTATCACAATTCTCACATTATCACCATACTCTGGACTGTAGCCAGCAACAGGTCTGGAGAGCATGTAGCATGTTTGTGTATGGTGGATTTTTTGAAGGGTTCGTCTACAAATATATCTGTAAGATATAATGTCAATTACAGATTACTTGAGCTTCGTTAAGTGGCGTAGTTATACAACAAGGCAACTTACGGAACTTACCTGTCTTGGGGTTGTAGCTTCCCGGCTACATCACAAGCGCGACCCAGTCCAGCATCGTCCACATCGTTCAGTCCCAGCTCTACCTTGGGTAAATTGGGTAATGGCTCCAACTTATCCGGGGACACTTCTGCAGATACGTATACACCTGCAATGATGCAACATACTCTCAGCACCCAACATATCCAAATTTGAAGGATATTAGGGTCTCAAAACATGAAAGATCCCAAAGCCCAGATATGTGAGAGGAGGTGAGGCTGACAGTTCCATATGCAAAGGAACTAGGGCCTCAGGGTGTAAGGAAGCTCCATGGTCCCAAATTCTGAGGGGCTACATTGTTTCTACTTTTGAAAGGCTTCATTACCCGAATTTCTGAGTTTTCAGGATTGTCAGATGTGAGGGAACGGCAGAGTCTTCATGTGTGAAGACCTGGGGGTCGGGGTGAGGGGTTGAGAGGGCCGGATACCTTCAAGTGTCTGGGTGACCAGGGTCACCAGATGTTCAGTGTTACTGAAACTGCTTCTTTAGATGAAAATAAATGTTTTGTTATACTATCTATCTCGCCCGGCTTCGGCTGGGCTACAAGTATCTTTGGCAGGTTAAATCACCACCACCAGATGTACACCAAACGAAGTGTAAACTTTGCCAGATGGACTATTGTCACACCCTGCGTCATTATGTACTGGAGTGCGATAAAATTAATGAATTCAGAGACAATTCACTCAGAAATGTTCAAGATATGTCAAAGAATTTTATCCACAGAGGTATATTACAAACTATTCTGGAAAAATACCCTGACTTTCCTCACTGTAAATAATGTATTACCAAGTGTGTGTGTGTGTGTGTGTATGTGTCAGTATTGCTACTGAATTCCTACGTATAGGCTTGTATAGTTTACCTTACAAGTATGACTTGAAAAAGCCCACTGTGTGGGCGAAACGTTGTCAACAAAGGATCACATTAAACTGCATATGTGTTTATGTTTCCATAGTTTACCTTAGTTCATATCATCCATATATATATATATATATATATATATATATATATATATATATATATATATATATATATATATATATATATATATATATATGATCCCTTGCCCTCAGTTCCAGTATAGGCACAAGGCAAGAAAGGTAGGCCTTGGCTCCCCCTCAAGACTCTGCCAATATATGTGATATCGACAACCCAGCGAGTGTTTCCTTACCCAATCATCTCCTTCAAGTGCCCACCTTAACAATTGGTGACAGCGGTGACGTAAATTTGATATTTACGCAGATGTACGGAGATTAACTTTTACCAGCCGACGGACATTATGTGTTGACCGCATGGCAGCCTAGCTAGCCAGCTATCCCAACCCAGCACCCAGCCATCTAAGTACAAGCCTTGCCTGATAAGCCAGCTTCCCAACCTGCTGTGCTCACTGTTACAAGATTTCAAGCCACCCTAGCCTGTGCGAAAGGTTTAAGCCAGCAAGCTAACCCAGCTGACTAACCACAGTATTCGAGCAAGTCACGTGAGTTCCAGCCTTCACCATCGCTTTGTGCTCCCAGTTCCAAGCCATCCTGAGTGTTGTGGCAATTTTTTAAGCCGTCTGACTTAAAATATTCGCGTGCCTAGTGTGAGAGTGTGGGTGCCAGTCAGCTGTCCTGGGACACACCACTCACACAAGATAGTTTCTTCGTACCTGAGTGCCAATGTACAAAGCCTTCAGTGTGGGTTCCTCAAGATAAGCGCTTTGTTCACTGAGATTCTGTGTGTTGAGAGGAGTGCAAAGTGCCGACCGCCACCTACTACCATCCTCTATTCTCTACCACCAGTGTCCTCCACATTCTACCCTACGTTGAGAGACATTTGCAAGTGTTTGAGACATTTTCTCAGTCTACAGTGAATTCTTAGTGACATTCAGTGACTTGTGATTACGGACTCAATGTTCATAAGATTCTGTTTGCAATAATTATTTTACCAGCATTCTTGTTGAATTTTCGTGTCTTATTTTATATATATGTTGTGTTCCTTATATCTCAAGTAAGAACTTTTTCTTTTCCTTGTTGTGCAATATAATTTTATGTTAATTCTCTAGACTGCCACAAGCATCATAAACTTATGGTTACACTTATCATTTATCTCTTGTGGGCAGTATTGCGCTCATTTCCCAGTCATTCATTCACTGAAGTATTTCACTAAGTTGTTTACCTTGTGTTCTGCTCCATATTTCAGTATTGTGCAATATTCAATTTTTCCCCAATATTGTACTTGCATCGTTAATTTTAATTTTTACTTCTCCCCAGCATTTTCCTTGTATTTTTCTTGCTGATTTTGTGTTACTAGTTTTTTTCCCAGTGTGCTACGTTTCCCATTTTCATGTGTGTTTAAAATTCTTTTGTACTAATTATTGCTATTTAGCCAGTGTCTAATCTGTTCCACTTCCACAGACTATAGTGCCATTATCTTGTGTGCAAGTAAGAGATTTATTTCCATTTTTTGTCAACACAAGACCATATTGCAAGAAATTTATATCCTGGTATTGGGCATATTGATGTTTGTGATCCTGCACTACTCTAAGTGATAACCTTTCTCTGTTCCGTATTTTATGTCCATTGATTTTTATTCGTATTTCTTTGAGCAAATTCACTCTTAGTGTAATTTTAACTCCTTTTTAAAGTAAATTAAGAGTTAAAGTGTTCAACCAGTTATTTCTTGGTAATTTTTTATTCTTCTTCTAAGCTGTATTTCCCCGTGTGTGCAATTTTTATTGATTTATTGAATCATTCTGCAATGACCCTTGTGCAATTTGTTTTGCCGTGATTCATTTTTCTTTCATAATTCTTTATAGTTTTATTTTGTGCTATAATTTTTGATTGGTGAGTATTCATTAGTATTAATGTTAAGTATATTTCAGTGTTCTCAGTGCATAATACTTTAATATTTGTGTCCCTAATTTTTTTTAGAGAATTGCTTTCCGAGTCTATTTTAATTTTGCACAAGATTTATTGATTCTATTTTATTATTTTGATTGATTTATAATTTATTTTTGAATTTCTTTACTAACTTGAGAGCAAAGACAACTCACATTGCTATTAATTCAAATTAATGTAAGATTTCCCTTGAACATCAAAGTGTTATCCTATCTGTTGAGTGCCTTTATGTGAGTGTCTTGTACATTCTCATTACTTATGCAGATTAGATAAGTATTTTCCTCCCATTTAAACCATATTGTGTCGTATATTCTCTTTGTTATTTTTGTCTCTTTAAATTCTCGTGTTCATTATTGCAAACATGTTTCAAGTACCTTCAGGCCATATCATAGTGAATTCTGCCAGTCCGAGTATTAATGATTCAGTACAAAATACAATCAATCCCTTACTGAGTAAGAGATAGACTCAGACCTCGAGACTTCGGAACTTTACTCATGACCCTTATGATGCTCTGCCTCTGTTCAATGGGGATCCAGACAATCTGGAGGCTTGGTTTACTGCCGTTCGTGCTAGGGTGAATACCTCGGTGGATGGCCTTCCATCCGAGAACTGCATCTTTAGTATTGGTAAAGAAAGTCTAGTGCGATCACCAGCTGCTTTGAACGTCTCTAACTTGATCCAGATAAGTGACTTTGAGGACCTCACTACGTGGGCAGAGTATGAGCAATTGATACGTTACTATCTTAACCCAATGAGAGTGACTGATCCATACACTGTCCTTAGGGAACTAGTGTATACAATACCTAGACCAGAGGAATCAGACGCGTTTGCACTTTAATTAAAAAACTTCATGTCCTCATTCATTAAAACAGGGCAAAATTCCGCCTTCCTTCCAGATGAGGATAAACGATCGCTTGCGTCGATTGCCAAATTAGCGGCTTTTGGATCTATTAAGCAGTTAATGCTGCCTGCTTCCATGTATATGTATAACACCAGTCCTCTAACTGCCAAAGTGGCACCATTTGCAGCTTTTATTCACGTGCGTGAGTTATGTCCCATGGGAACCTTCCCCTACCTTAGGCCTACATCATCTGCTATGACCCATCCAGTACCACCTCTTGTTCGTACAACAGCAAAAACTTCCGATAGAAATCACTCACGGCCCTCATTCAAGGCTAGCACAACGAGCCATTATCCTCACAGTGCTCGTAGTGCTCGCAGTGATTACAGTAACCATGCCAGGAGAACTTGCTGTAAGTGTGGTTACAAAGGCCACATTGCAGTTAATTGTCCAGATAGTCACCCTAAGAGGCGCCGTACTAATGATGATGAGCACCAATCCGATTTACCATACTGTACTTATTATAGAATAAATGGCCATGACACATCTGAATGCAATGCGCTCTGTAACCTGAGGTACTCTCGATCTTTCTGTGGTCGTTCCTTCCACAGAACCAGGAGAGGAAATAGTGGTCGTGGTTCTCAGACTAACCAGAACCAGACTCAGTGGTGACAGTAGGCGATAATGAGTACACCATCTCAGTAATTCTTTCGATGCCTTAAGCACTCTCGAGAATGAAGATCTCGTTGATGTTGCTTCACACGTCACGGACTGTGGCATGCAAAGAGTACGTAACCTTTATTCGGCGCATGGACACACCCTCATTTACAGGCTATCTCCCCCAACCAGCGAACCAGGTTGCTAAGAGTTGGTGATGGGGCCCCATCGTTCAACTAGTGACCAGGTTCTAGCCAGTAAGAAGGTGGGATTGGCAATCGCAGAGGTTATGTGGATACCGCTCTCCTGTCTGCCCTTGTCATTCCCATTCTAGAGCTGGTTGAGCACGGTCTGCTATCTTGTGGCTTCTATTTCTGCCTTGCTTACCGTGACGTGCACTATACTTATTACTGTACATAGTGTACATATTGCTGTTCTAAATTGGTGAAGGATAATATAAGTCTAAACTTTTTCTGCTGTGTTTCTTTTGCTCCCATTACATCTGGGATAACAGGCCTTTGAAATCCTAGGTTGTAATACGGACGATGTGAATGCAGTGGATGAGGATGCAGTGGAACGAACCTTCTCTGATGACAACCCTCCTTTGTGTTTGCAGATTGCTTCCAACACAGAGATAGGTCCCATAGTACAAGCGTCTGTTTGTCAGGAGCCCTTTCATGTGTTCATGGACTCTGTTGCACAATTCAACATTATCAGGTCTAGTTTGTTTAA